GGCTTGCTCTGGGTGAGAACTCCAGGCATTCTGCTGGTGTGGACGGAGCCCAGCCATGAGGCCCCTCCCGGGCTGTGTGTGCAGGAAGGTGAGGGTACAGAGATGTGATAAGAAAGCACAGAATGTTTGAAGGGCACCAAGTGTTGGCAGGTGCCGGCCGCTGAAGTCTGGAAGCTCCTGGAAGTTCATGCAAACGCAGAATTGACAGAAGGATCGGGAGCTCAAGTGGAACTGAGAAGAGGCGATGGCATCCAGCTCAACAGAGAAATATTTTCCAGTGACAGCTGAACTGGAAGATAAAACAGCCCAGGTTGCACATGGGCACGAGACCTGGTGCCAGAGGCCCCCCCGGCCACCGCTCCCAGGGCACCACACCTGACTTCATGTCAACCCTCGATCAGACTCTGGGCACACAGAGCCCCTGTTTTCTAGGGACGTCGGGTTTGGAGTTCGTTTTGCAAGTGTCTCATCACAGGCGATAAAAGACCGTCCTGCCTGGCCCCCGACCAAACTCAGTTCTGTTCTAGAATATACTCGGATAAAATACGCGCAGATAGCCCACCTTCCGGAAACATTGGATCAAATGTTTCTCAGTTTGGAGAACTCTGTTCTTTCCAAGGCAACTGGTGGATACTTAACACCTGCCTTGTTGGAAATGTGGTTTTCCCGGGTTGAGTTGAACCAGCCTTTCTGACCACTGGGATCCTGCTTTCTTTCGCCCTCTGGATGTACACAGAATAAACTGAATCTCCTTTGCACGTATTCGTCCCTTTGATACACCAGCAGGTAAAAGCTTAATTGCCGTCGTGATGTTATTAGCGTGTGCCATTGTGTGTCGGCCCCGGTGCTGGAAGCAGACACACTCGTTCCTTGGAAACAACCTTGTTTATTGACCATCCCATTCCACAGATGGGCCCCGGGCAAGGTCTTTAGCCCTTAGCACAGCCTGGGACTCCTCCCTCCCGGAGGGACCTGGGCACCTCTCCAGCCGGCATGCCACATTAGGTATGCAGTCAGTTTTGTGCACCTGCGTCTCTGAGGTCACCCACATCCCCACCTTGGAGGCTGGTTTTGTCCAGGTGCGGGCTTCCCAGCCTGCTCTCCTCTCTCTCTCTCTCTCTCTCTCTCTCTCTCTCTCTCTCTCATATTCCATCTTACTCATTTGGCTTCTGGAACTTGAAAAATATCAGAACACTTTTTTTGTATGCTACAAAGCTTAGCTAGAAAGGAAAGAAAAGAAAAGAGAAAAAAAGAAAGGAAGGAAGGAAGAAAGAAAAGGAAAGAAAGAGAGAAAGAGAGAGAGAGAAAGAAAGAAAGAAAGAAAGAAAGAAAGAAAGAAAGAAAGAAAAAAGGACCTGACCCAATTCCTGACCTAAAAAGTTTGTAATCTCACTAGGACAAAGGGGCATTCATAGAAAGAGAAACTTGGAAGATGCGGGCAGTACCTCTCGGAGGTGATGTCTCTGTCTCTGTCTGTCTCTCTCACCCCCGTGTGAATCACTGCGCAGGCCTCTCGATCGCTTGTCTCTTATATTTGTTTACGTGGATCTGTGGCTTACACCCTCAGTGTCCGATAACCGGCACCTAACCTCGCTTGGTATCCGCAACAGGATACGAGAGCATCTTTGCATATCCTGTGATTTTATGCCCTGGTTGGGGTGTAAGCAGCTCATAGCGAGCGTTTGTTTATTGGACAGGGAGCGTCTATTGGTGTTGTTTGCTTCGGGGATTGAAGGAGGCGGACAGGGGTCAAGGAAGGTAGGGCCTCGCGGTCTTGTCACACCTCCTCACGCCTCCTCACACCCCCGGCATCTTGAAGGCGCTCAGTGGGGCTCGGGGCAACAGCAAATGCATGATAGAGGTGCGTGGTGGGGTCCACGGGGACCCCGTTATGAGGAATAATACCCCGGGCCCCCTGGATGGGAGTCCGGATCGATGAGATGGACCTCATTTGCATTGCTTGGGTGGTTTTCAAAGTACCTCTCCAGCAAATGCTTTCAGAGATCCCCAGAGAAAAGATTGTCTTGGTTTGGAAAAAGCTTCGTCATGTCATGGGGTGGGGGGGCAGGCAGGGGCCCGGCAGGTGCTCGGGATGACTCAGCTCTCTGAAAAGAGAGCCCGGAGTGACCGAAACCAGCCAGCGTGTTGTGTGGTGTGGTGTGACTCAAGTGGGCCCTTCTGTTAGTGTTGGCACGGGAGCTGGCCGAGGACCAGGAGGGACCAGGAGCTTTGTCACACATTTGCTCTATTGTCACTTGAAGGAAATGTGCTTTGTTAGGTCTGGCTTTCCGGAATCGAGGACAATCATCCGTGTCCTTTAAATGACAGGAAAGAACGTTCGAGAAACTGTCCTCTCTCGCTACCTCGGGCTGTCTTGCTCTGTTTAAAAAAAAAAAAAAAAAAGCCAGTTAAAGAGATGTGCTTTGCTATGGAAAGACTTGGGGTTTTGTGTCTGTTTTGTTCTGTGCGGGTGTTGTGGTTTGTGTGTGTGCGTGGTTTTGTGGTTTTTTTGTTTTTTTTTTTCATACAACGTTATATGTAAACGCCTTTTTGGAAGATGAACCAGACCCGGTGGCCTCCTGGTCATTTCGGACAGCGGTGCTTCTTGTAGGTCCAGTCCCAGAGTGAGACACTTCCCCTTTCTTGCTTTTGGGCCAGAGAAATTACAGGCAGCTCGACTCCTGTCTTCTGTTCCAAAGTCCGCGGAGGCCGATCTGGGCCCGCTGGGTGTTTCTGGTTCTACGGTTTTGCGGGTCAAGGGATCTCTGGATGAGACAGGCTTATCCTGCGATTACTTCTGGGTCCTGCGGCATTTACTGGACAATTCGCAGCTGCGGTCGCCTGCGCTCCTTCCTTCCTTGGCTACCTGGCCCCTCGCCGTTGGGGATCGCGAGGGAATAGGAAGCGTGGATTTTGAGCGTTGACCCATCATCCCCTTCAGAGGGCTCTTAACCAGGTAAAGCTGCCAGGAGGATCGAATTTTCATTTCCTGAAACTTCACCCCAAATCTGTAACTGGTGAGATAGCTCAGAGGCACGGGGAGCTGGAGACCGGAGGGCTGAGAACGTGTGTTCAGGCGGGACGCTTCGGGAAGCAACGTCAGGGACATGCTGTGATGGTCTCCCCTGCTTGGACCAGAGGGGAGTGGAGGGGGGGTCCTGTTTTGATGGCGAGTCTTAGATAGAGCCCCCATCCTTCAAGGAGTGGACATCGGACAGGTGTCTTCATATGTGATGTATGTGATGATCACACCGTTTAAAGGCTTACACGAGGATCCTCTCACCTGTATAAGGGTCACTTTTATTCATTCCTAGAAAGTGTTGACCTTTTTTAAAAACTTAAAAAAGCCTCAAAGCTATCAATACGAACTCATTCTTTTTTTTTTTTTTTAAATCTGAGTGGGCTCCATGCCCAACGTCAAGCCCAACACAGGGCTTGAACTCATGACCCTGAGACCGAGACCTGAGCTGAGATTGAGAGTTGGACGCTCAACCGACCGGGCCACCCCGGTGTGCCTCATTCTTGTATCTTAGCTTCACGTGAAAAGTAAATAAATGACCTGGTGCATTTTTATTGCGACTTGTTCCTTGAGGTTCCCCAAGATTAAAAAGCCATACTCACATTTTTATTTATAGCAAGCCAATGTGGGTTTTTGTGTGTGTGTGTGGGGGGGAGTTTGTTTGTTTTTAGTTTAACGAGTCCAACAACCATTGTGCTCACGAGGTGCAAGGCAGTGAGTGGGCCAGAGCTGGTCCTGTTGCATGTAGCTCCCAGTGGACTTGGGACTTGGGACTTGGGGAGAAGTGCCAGATGCAAATCTGCAAACCTGCAAATGCGTCCTATCGGCCACCTCCTTCCCTACCCCCTTGGAGGCAACAGTTATCAGCTTTACAATCACCTTTATTTAACAAAAATGTCAGCAGCCCTCCCCTCACCGTATGCCAGGCACCACCATGAGTTGGCATCAACTCATTTCACACCCCAACAACCCTGCTCTTATCTCCTTTTGCAGACGAGAGCACAGAGGCCTGGGAACATTTAACTGGCCTGCCCTAGGCCCCAGGTCCCAGAGGTCATGGGCTCAACCCCCGCACTGTGCTGCCCTTTGAGCACCTACTGTGCGCCAGGCACTTGGCAGGTGCTAGGAAGCCCAGAGCCTTCTCATCGGGAATGTGGTCTTGTGGGTGGAAGGTTTGGAAGGCCGTATCCTCGAGTCTTCTTTGGTCACTCGGAGACAGCGGGGAGGGGCGGAGAGAAACCCTCTGTGAGCACCCGAGGGCGAGGGTGATGCCTCGATGGGGCCTTTACTATAAAGCATTCCACGTTGATGGTTTTTCTAGAAATTACTGTTAACTGTTCACAAACATCTGCAAACAACAGAGCCTTCTTTTCATTCCCACTAACCTTAGAAACTGTCAAAATGGTTCGTTCTGGAATGTTTTCTTCTCTGGATTTGGGGTAGCACGTGACTTAGTGGGTGCATGTGGGTGAGCTTTATGGAATTTTGTTACACGTGTTTATTAAGAAGTGGGAGATTCCTTCCATACGGCTTATTTAGAAAGAAACGTGTGGCCTCCATCTGGTACTAAGTTCTGGACCACTTGCGCAGTGGGAGCGTCCCCCTCGTCCCCATGGGTGGGAACCTTCCCCTTGTCCTGGTGGATAGGAACCTTCCCCTCGTCCCTGTGGGCAGGAGCCTCCCTCTCGTCCCATGGGTGGGAGGCTCCCCCTCGTCCCGTGGGTGGGAACCTTCCCCTTGTCCTGTGGGTGGGAACCTTCCCCTCATCCCCGTGGGTGGGCACCTTCCCCTCATCCCCGTGGGTGGGAGCCTTCCCCTCACCCCTTGAACCCTCTGCAGGAGGGAGCAAGGAGGGGTGTCTCGTGGGATGCTGTTGCTCACCTGGAGCATGAGCTGGACCCACCTAGACCCCCTGGTTAAATCCTCACCCGAGCGAGACCGTGCCCAACTCCACATCCATGTCCATCCCAGAATCAGAGAGGCTCGGGCACTGGCATGATGACACCGCCAGGAAGTGTCATTGCCATGAGGTGACCCCAGGTCTTTGCCCACCCTTCCCCTCCCTTGACCTTGATGGTCTGTGAGTCACTTTGTGCTTCGTCCCGGGTCCTCCGTCGCCAGAGGCAGCCCGCGGGACGTCTCGGCCCCGGGCCCTGAATGCAGGCAAGCACCCAGCTCCTTCCGCGAGCGTTGGGTGGGGAAGAGGCAGGTGGAGGTGAGGGCCAAGGTGAGTGGGTAAAACTGCTGTTTGCTCCGGAGAGAGCTAACTCTCGTCTGGAATATCTTCTGGTTTTTTTCTCCACGTGTCTCCTAAATATTAACCGGTCTCGAAATAATACATACAGTCTTATCATTCTTTCTTCTAGGTCATCTCGAACGTCCCAAATCTTTGCCATTACCTGCTGCTGCTGATAAAATCAAGATGGCCTTAAACTCAGTAAGTGGTTAATTATTACTTTCCCAGTCTTCTCTGTTTCCTTATTCCTGCTGTTATTTTCCAAAGCTGTACGTTGGGCAGCATTTTAAGAGCTGGCTGCGGGGCTGCGTGTGCCCCGTGGACTCTGGTCAGGGCTCTCTCTCTGGGGCGGGTGGGAGTGGGTCAGGGTGCAGACAGACCCAGACCGAATGGGTGTGGGGTATGTGCCCTGCTCACCTGGGCCCCTCCTCTTCCTGCCCTGCAGGTGAGTTTCGGGGTGAGCTGTGGCGACAACCAGGGGCAGAAGGGGGTGTGGGGAGTAAGTCCCAAGGCGGAACAGGTGCGGGGGTCACCGCCGGTCGACAGACCCCTGTGCAGCCCCTGTGCAGCCCGACGTCCTGATAAAACAGGGGGAGGCTACCCCTCTCCCCGGACGCCCCCCGACGTCCCCCCGCAACAACGCTGGGGCAAATGCGGTACCTCTGTTCCCCATTCTATCTCACCGACTCATCTCCCCGGGGATGCGTGCATGCGGTACAGAGTCGTGGTTCCTAACCAACAAGATTTTCCATATCTCGTATCTGGAAAACGGACCTTTTGCTTTTCCCTCTTTAGCAGTTGCTGGTTTTTATTTTCATTGGATCCATTTTAAAATTCCTATCCATCGCCCCGGGGCTTCGCTGGGACAGACGCTGTGCCTGCCACGACCTTTCCCGGGTGGGACGGCGTGTTCTTAGATGCTTCCGATAGAGACCACATGCTCTAGGTTTTTTTTTTTTTTTTTTTGGCCTTCGGTGGCCTGTTTAGATGGGAGATTACACTGTTTCCCTCTCTGTCCGCTGCTCTGGTTCAGAGTTACGGTCTTTGGACTCGTGAAGGAGAGCATCGGTGAGTTATTAAGCAGAGGTCACCTCCGGCAGCCCGCACGCGGCTCCGGCTCTGGCTCGTCCCGTATAATCTTGCTTCCCGGGAGGCCCCATTTAAAATGCTAAGCGGTGCCTGGGGTCAGAACCCGGGTCCTACCCGAGACCCCGCTCAACAAGAAGCAGGAGGAGAAGTGAACGAGGGGAAAGAAGTTTGAGGGTCCTCCAGAGAGGACGGCCCAGCCGGTGGGCGATGGGGAGGGCGGGGCGGGGGGGGTGCTGGCAGGTGCAGCCAGAGGAGGCAGCGTTTACCTGGGCAGAGGGCGAGGGGGAGGGTGTTCCAACAAGCTGCACCTCTGCAGCTGGGGCCAGCCGCTTCCACCTCGTGCGCCCACAGACCCAGCGCTCCCCTCGGAACTGGCTCTTCGCAGCAGGACTGCCGTGCACACGGTTCAAGGGTCCCCCAGTAAATGGTGACACATCGCCTAAGGGAGGACGAGGTGGAAAAGGAACTTTTAGAATAACATGGATAGCGTGAGCCTTTAGGTAACTTTCTTAACCTCTATCACGCACGCTCCTCCCTGCAAAATGGGTCTGTCCGTCCAACCTGCATCATCCGAGGGGGTGTGGCCCGGTTTCCAGGAGGCAGTGAACACAGGCTCACATCCAGACCTCTACACATTTTTTTTCTTTTTTCTTTTCTTTTCTTTTCTTTTCTTTTCTTTTCTTTTCTTTTCTTTTCTTTTCTTTCCTTTCTTTTCTTTTCTTTTACTTTATTTTATTTTATATCATTTCTTTTTTTTTTTTTTACTAAATCTCGGTATTGATTATTTACTTTATTTCAAAGTATTTTATTTATCTCTATTTCCAAAAAAAAAAAAATTAGTTAACAAACACACAAAAACACTGTTGACATTTTTTTTAAAAGATTTTATTTATTTATTCATGAGAGACAAAGAGAGAGGCAGAGACACAGGCCGAGGGAGAAGCAGGCTCCATGCAGGGAGCCCGACGTGGGACTCGATCCTGGGACTCCAGATCACACCCTGGGCCGAAGGCAGGCTCCCAACTGCCGAACCACCCAGGGATCCCCAAAAACTGTTGACACTTATTGAAAGTTCTGGTTAGTTCTTGGTCTAGGTGATTTCAGTGTTTGAACCTGAGGGGAACCTGCAGCAGCTTTTCAGCACCTTGTCCAAGTGTGATGGATGCACACCTAACCTCCGGGGTAATTGGGGTTTCCTAGCACTCACCTTCTCTTTCATCGTTTAGGGGTCACCGCCAGGAGTTGGACCTTACTACGAAAACCATGGATACCAACCCGAGAGCCTGTACCCCCCACAGCCCGCTACGGCCCCCAGAGCCTACCCGGTGTATCCGGCCCCGTACTACCCGCCTGCAGTGCCCCAGTACACCCCGAGGGTGCTGACGCACACTTCGACACCTGCCATCCACACGCAGCCCAAGTCCCCGTTGGGGACGGGGTGCACCGCAAGTAGGACCCTTTTGTGTTTCTTTCCAACAATAGCACCAGCGCTGGGGTCCGCCTTCCCCAGGGGGCTCTGTCGCTGACTGTCCTTCCTCTGCGGGGGCTGGTCCCGCACCCTTCCCTTCTCCCTCGCTGTCACAGCTGTCACTGCCCCTGTCACCTCCAGCCTGGGGCCCTGTGAGGGCTGCCAACCTGCAAAGCCTTTCCTTCACTTTCCTTGACCACCCGGGTTGGTCTTCCAAGCCGGGCCTCTGCCCGTTCTTGCCAATGAAGGGTAACCTCCAGGGCAGGGATCCTGTACCCCCCTCCCTTTCTTTGTGGCATGGTTCTCTGGATACAGCAAGTCATGTTTAAGATGCTGGACGAGGGCTTGGTGCTCAGCCAGTGAAGCGGCTGGTGTGGTTGGCGCACACGGAAATAGGTCTCGAATTCAAGGATCTCACGGGCAGAGTGCAGTGCGTAGCGCAGGGCGAGGGCTCCCGGGACTGATCCCCTCAATGCCACATGCTTCCTTCTGACTCTCTCCTTCATCTCCTTTCTTCCTGCGGCCCTCCCAGCTCGTTGTTTTTGTTTTATTATTTTTTTAAGATGATTTATTTTAGAGAGAGCACTTGGAGGGAGAGAATGGCAAGCAGACCCCCCCCCAACCGAGCGTGGAGCCCAACGTGGGGCTCGATCGTATGACCCTGAGACCGTGACCTGAACCCAAACCAAGAGTCAGATGCTCAACCCACTGAGTCACCCAGGGTTCCCACCCTCCCAGCTTTGACTGCGGGCTAGGGGAAGGGTGAAGAACTGCCCAGGGAAACCAGTATAGCTGGTACCAGTACCAGCCACTGAACGGTTACCATTTTTGTTGACGATGTTTTTATTTTATTTTGCAAGCTCGTGTGTACATGCAGCTTGTACAGTCAAAGAGCAATAGCAAAGTGAATATCCACACGCCCCCAGCACATCGTAGAGCATGGAAATGAGTCCTTAACACCTGTGCTGCCTAAAGTCCCGGCATGCCCCTCCCCAGGCCCCGGCAGCCCTTAACCAGCACTGTCACCCTTAGTCCTGACCGACACTCACCTTTGCAAAGGGCTCCTGGTCCTTCCTTCTCTTCCATAATCTCTACTCTCATTTATTCCCTCATTTCCTACCCTTTAGTCTTCCTCTTTCTTTCCTATGTGGTTCCCTCTTTCCCTCCATCACTTGCCATCTCCAGGTTTTACCCCTGGAAGACTGGGGATGTAGGTGTCAGGCAAGTGGGCTCCTCTTGTTTGCCTGGGTAGGACGGTCGCTAGTATGAATTCCACCCTCTGAACGTGCTAACCTCAAGAGGGGACTCTTGGTTTCTGACCATTGCCCCCCCCTTTTTAGGACTTTATTTATTTATTCATGAGAGACACAGAGAGAGAGGCCAAGACATAGGCAGAGGGAGACAAAGGCTCCCTACAGGGAGCCCAATGTAGGACTCGATCCCAGGACCCTGCAGGTTGAAGGCCGACACTCAACCACTGAGCCACCCATGTGTCCCAATCAATAGACTAGTTTTTAGAGTAATTTTAGGCTTGGAAAATTGAGGAAAAATTGAGTCCTGAGTCCCACATAGCCTTTCATTCACCCCCCAAGGTTTTCCCATCATCTTGCCTTAGGTGCTACACTTGTTGCAATCGATGCAATGGATGATGTGGATACATTATTATTAACTAAAGTCCATAGTTTTACTTTAGGATCACATTCCTAGTACATTTTGCAGCTTTTGACAAATGTGTAAAGACATGTGCATCGTCACAGTAAAATACTTCAGTGCCCTCAAAATCCCCTGAGGCCCGCCCATTCATCCCTCCCTTATTCCCCCAGCACGTGGCGACCACCGATCTCCATTGTTCTGCTTCTTCCAGAACGTGGTGTGGTGGGAATCGTGCCGCACGTAGCCACACATAGTGTCAGGACCTTGTCAGTGTCTAGCGAGTTACTCACGAAGCACAAATCCAGAAGAACCCATCGGGAGTGCCAGGGCCACCCCGGGCCTCACTGTATTTGTTTGCTATGGCAACGGTCCCAAATGTTTCACAACGAGTCCCCAGGCCTGTACATCCTGAGGTCTGGGTTTTGGAAAACTGAAGGTCAGCGGTCTGTGAGGCAGGTCGTTGGCCCTGGACGTGGTAGGGCTGCATCAACAGACTAAATTGAGGATGATGAGGGTGCACGAACAGTACGTCGTAGTGAAACGCAACAGGAGCACGATTGCAAATCATGACCCAGCGTGGACTGAGCAGACCCTGATGGCAGGTGCCCCTCCACCAAAAGCAGGGTCGGGGCTTCCCACTGCCTACGTGCTCCTAGGGAGAGCTGGGCAGACAGCCGTACGCTCAGTGAGAGGTTAAGAATGCTTAATTTAATAGCTTTTAGCTCGCCAGGTGTGTTATTTTATCCCAGATAAAATACACAGGAAACCCCCTACTGCCCCTCCAACGGAAGAGATCGTCCTTGGCGAGTGAGTTCCAAGGAATTTAGAATTTAGGATTTCCCCCGTGAGCTTCCCCTGCCACTCCACCCAGCTCAGCCCTGACACGTAATCACCGGAGGCCTGGTTCTGATAACGTGGCTTTCAGTGTCACCTGGCCCTCCTCAGGCCAGTGGCCTCTGCCTCAGCTGTGCACCTGTTACGACTGTAAATTCATGCCTCCCCTCTCTCAGTGGAACTGAGCTCCTGGTGAGGAGGGCCAGGAAAGTGGTTGGCAGACTCCCAGGCGATCCCTGAGCCTGCTGTGGTTCCAGAACATGCTCACCCAGAGGTGAGCCCAGTGGGCGGCTTGGAGCCCAGGCGGTGGGTCAGCCCCATCTACCTGTGTCCAGAAGCACAGACGCATACAGAGGGTGGCCGGCCTCCCCGCACACTCTGGGACACCTACCTACAGGGTGTCCTGCTGTAAACCGAGGGGCTGTTGAGGGTCTGTTGAATGCCCCCACCTCCCCACCCCACCCCGGCCTCTCCGCCTTTCTCCTCTGAGGAGGGCTCGCAGGAGCCGCCCTGTAGGAACTGCCGGGTGTGGTGTGTCTGGCGCTGCTCTCAGAACCTTGATACGGCGTTTGGTTCACACGCTGACCAAACAGTGACCTGCCGGTGTGTTTTGACTGGAGAGCATGGGTGACTTTCTCCAAATGACGTTACTCTTGGCTGAGGTGTGAGCCCAGTGCTCCTGCCTCAAACCAAAGGGCCGATGTCAGCACTGCCGGTGGAACATTCCACGGGGGGCGAGAATGTTCCACAGCTGCCCTCTGCTCACGTGACTGCTGAGCTTTGGAATTGACATAATGACCTTTAATGAATAGCTACTCAGTACGTTTCATGATAAGTGATTGAAGTGCAAACAGTCGTACGTGGCTGGTGGCTGTCGCTGGGACTCTGTGGGTCGGCGGCATCCACTCCCTGAACTGTCTTGAGTTAGACGATTTATTCTACCTTGAGGTCATAGTTTGGGGGCATTATGGCTGTTTTCCTATGCCTGGAATTACCAAAAACAAGGTACTTTCCCAAGTTTTAGGCAATGTTCTACATTAATCATGTATTTGACTAGTCTAAGACCAGACATTAAAAAAAAAAGAAAGATTTATTTATTTATTTATTCATTTATTTGAGAGAGAGAGAGAGAGAGAGAGACAGCCAACACGCATGTAGTAGGGAGCCCAGTGTGGGGCTCGATCTCACGACTCTGAGACCATAACCTGAGAGGAAACCAAGAGTCGGAGGCTTCACTGAATGACTGCACCACCCAGGCGCCCTTAAGACCATGGCTTTTTAAAATTTAACATAAGGGTAGGTTACTTCATATCATGGCTTCAAAAAGCATGAAACTGGGACCCCCGGGTGGCTCAGCGGTTGAGCATCTGCCTTCGGCTCAGGGCGTGACCCCGGGGTCCTGGGATCGAGTCCCACGTCAGGCTCCCTGCAGGGAGCCTGCTTCTCCCGCTGCCTGTGTCTCTGCCTCTCTCTTTCTCTGTGTCTCTCATGAATGAACAAATGAAATCTTTAAATGAAAAATTCAAAGTCTCATTTCTCACTGTATGAGAAATTACTGCTTGACACGCTGTACTATCCAAGTGGCGGGCACCGTTGGAGAGTGTGACTTTGAGCAAACTCTGTCGCTCCACGGTGTGCTCCCCCCTCCCTTTCCTAGAGACTAAGAAAGCGCTGTGCATCACCGTCGCCCTGGGGACCATCCTGGCGGGGGCAGCTGTGGCCGCGGTCCTGCTCTGGAAGTTCAGTAAGTGTGGGAAGGGGGCCGAGGCTTCGTGGGGGGCCTTGCCCTCTCTCTGCTTCCTGCAGTCTCTCCCATCAAACCAGCTGTCTTCTCTTCCCCTCTGTTCGGTGACAGGGAGGACCCCTCTCATCCGATCACCTTGTCTGGGTTGTTAGGAGTCACCTGCGTGCATCATCCTCATCTGTGGGTGGTCAGCACCCCGTGATGTTGGTGGCGGGGTGACACACGCCGTGGTGACACACTTTGGGTAGATCCGGGGCGCTAGGTGCTTCCTGGCACTGGTGAGCACAGACTCCCCGCTGTGCAGCCACACCTGTCCCCTGGATCTCAGCGTGCCGTGTCACCTGCTACGTGCAGGGGCGAGCCTTGCCTGTGCCACCTCGTTAACCACAGCCCGGCTTCTTCCACCATCGCAGGGCACTACAGGCTCATGGAGTTTAGGGACCACAGGAGTCACCTGTGTGGCAGACAGGAGGTGGGGTACTATCCAAGTCCAAGGTGCCGGGCCCCTCGGGGTCCCCCTGGAGGTGATGCAGCGGGGGCTCCTGTGGCTGCCAGCCCTGCCTCCCTTGCTATCGACCGTGGCAAGGACACATCTGCTCCTTATTAAACCAAAGGGGGGGAAAGGCTCTTCTCTCCTGTTGCTTCGGGGCCCAGAGAGTGGTCTCTGGAACTCGCGGCAGGTGCTTGAAGTTTGCTCGGTGTCTCGGGCTGACCAGTCTCCCTCCTGTCTCTCTGCAAGTGGAGGACAAGTGCTCGGTGTCGGGGATAGAGTGCGGCAGCTCGGGGACCTGCATCAGCCCCTCTCAGTGGTGCGACGGGGTCCTGCACTGCCCCAGCGGGGAGGACGAGAACCGGTGCGGTAAGTGCAGGGGGCCCCGGGCATCCACCACCGACACTGCGGCCCGTACTGGGCACGGTGGCCGGGCCTGGGTCCGGCCCAGCCACCCGTTCGGGACCCTGAACCTTTGCTCTAACCCCAGATGAGGAGCGGGGCTCAGAGAGGCTGCGCTCCTGGCCCGGGGTCACACGGCGGTAGGAGGGAGACCGCGGGGCCGGGGCCACGCTGACGGTGTGCGTCCGACCGGCCCAGGACGTCACCTGACAGCAACTCCATGAGCAGAGGGTGTAAGGTAGAGAGTCGGGAGTGCCCTCTGTTATTTTCCAAGCCAGCTCGCCTTTACGGCCACGTGTATCTCTCGCCGCGGAGGTGGCCTGCCTTATTTTCCGATCACTGTTCCAAGTGATTTCCAGGGTGGAGGAGCGGCTGTCCTGAGCAGGTGTCGTGCTCCTACCCACCGACGGCCACCCCCAGCGTGACTCCCACCCCAGTCGGGCACCTGCCGAGGGGCCTGAGCACGGGGGGCTGCTTGCTCCCCGGCCGCCTCCGTGTCCTCTGGGTGGGCCGAGGTGGGCGAGCCGAGCGTCATCCGCCGCGGGTTTAACTGCTTTCTGCCTGTGGCGTGCAGCCTGCTTATGTGTTCTGACGAGCTTTTAGCTTGTGGTCCTCCAGCAGAACGAGTGAGCCAGCCAGGCCGACGGCTGCGCCCCCGAGTCCCGCTTCCTGCTGCTCCCTCTGACACCTTCACATGAGAACCTCAGTTTTCTAAACAGAAATTTCAAAATTGTGGTGTCAGAGGGGTCACCAGAAATCGGACAAGCAGCTTTTCCTCTTCTGCTCTCAAGTGTCCCCTCACTCCTCAGGGTTTTGTTTAAACATGAGGAGGGCTGCGGCGGGCGGGGGATACGGGTCCCCTCTCTTGTTCCGGGCCACCCCGAGTGAGGACTGCCCCCCTGCCCCTCCTCCCTGCCCGGTCACGACGCTGGTGTGGGGCATGCCGCTGGGCCTGGCCGGTGGGACTCCCCGGAGAGGAAGGCTGGGCCCTGGATCCGTGCGGCCCCTGGGGTCACCCATGTCCCTTGAGCTGTGCCTGCGTCTGGAGCGTATCTACACTAAGCAATGACCCATGTGCTCCTTACACTTTCAACACAGCGCCCTGCCTGCACGTTGGTGATGATGTGACCCTCCCCATTCTCTTAAGTAGGGGGCCTTGAGGCTCATAGAGCACCCTTAAGCTATCATGGGTGATGGCTTTTGGTGTTTTCATCTGTGTGCATGCACGCGTGCAAGGAGAGACTCCGGCAAGACACATTTGTTCTATTTCCTGCAGGCTCTCCCCTTCCTTCCTCTCTTCTTGATGTTTACGTTGTGTTTATTTAAATACTTGGAGTTGACATCCTCAAGTAGGTCGAAATCGGGAAGGACCATAGGGTGCAAGGAAAACTCATTCTCCCCCACTCTGCTCACACACACATGCACACGCACATGCACGCATGTGTGCCCAGGCACCAACCAATCACGCTACTTTCTCAGGAGCAACATATAGACGTTTTTTCCTTCACTTTTTTTTCTTTAAGGTTTTAAGTGAAAAAGCAAATACGCGTGTGCGTATTTCCCACGGTCCTCATTTTCTAGTGGTCACTGCCCAGCCGACCACGCAGGCCTTGATGCCACGTCCTGAGGACCACTTCTGGTTGGGACGCGGGTCCCCGTGTTCCCCGCGGCGGCCCACCCCGTGCTCCCGTGTGTGGCTCCGGAGCCACGGGAGCTCTCTCTTCTCGGTGGACATAACACGCGTGTTCCAACCACAGGAGCACATTGGCAGGAGACACGCCCCAGAAGCAAAATTGCCGGGTCGGAGCGTTTGCACATCTGTAATTTGATAGACTCCCCTTAGTTGCGGTTTATATCATTTCCACGCTGATTATTTACATAAGACCAAGTAGATGAACATGACGTCGTGTGCGTGTTCTGCATCCCATCAGAACACGCATCTGGTGTGCTTCTAAGTCGCCCACCTCGTAGAGCAGAAATGATTCTCAATGAAATGCACGTCTTCTGGTGCTCAAGACCATCCCCCGTCCCGTGGAAAACGTTCAAATATACGTGCAGAGCGTTCTCTGCCTAGGAGTGTATATATTCTCGAATATATTTATGTGCGTATTGAATGTGCGAGCATTGTTAACATTAGTTCACTTTCTACATCTGTTGCCATGGTTTCTGTGACGTTTACCTGTCACGAGAGAAACGAGAATGGCTCGGGGTGGCCCAGCAAGCGCGCTGTTTTGCACGCTTGAGATTGGCCGAGAGGGAAGACGTCAGATGTGCTCGCCACAGAGGAAAGCGAAGCCGTGTGCGGAGATGGGGGTGTCACCCCGCTTGATTGTGGTGCATGCGTCACGGCCTGTGCATGAATCCAAACAAACGCCAGGCCGTACCCCTTAAGTATATACAGCGGTTCTTCATCAATTGTGCCTCAATAAAGCCAAACGATCCCTAATACTTAAAAAAAAAAAAAAGAACTTGAGCTTGAGACCATTTCCAGCTCACTGGCACATCCGCTGTCGTGCTTTCTTCCCAAGTTGCATTTTTTTTTAAGTTCTTACTTAAATTCCAGTTAGTTAACCTATAGCGGAATATTGGTTTCAGGTGTACAGCATAGCGATGCAACACCTGGTCAACTCTGCGCTCATCACAGCAAGCGCCCTCCTTACTCCCCATCACCTACCCTAGTGAGCATTTGATGGAAGGGGAAAAATAAATCTCTAAGAGGGCCACAAATCAAGATACAAATCAAATAGTCTCCTTTACTATCTGCTATGCCACAGTGTCAGTATTATTTTTAGTTTTGCAATTATGTTTAATTCCAGTTATTTTTTTTTTTAAGATTTTTAGAATTTATTTATTCACGAGAGACAGAGAGAGGCAGAGACACAGGCAGAGGGAGAAGCAGGCTCCACGGAGGGAGACTGATGTGGGACTCAATCCTGGGACCCTGGGACCATACCCTGAGCTCACCCGCTGAGCCCCCCAGGCGCCCCTAATTCCAGTTATTTTCTTTTAATTTAATGGACTTTATTTTTTAGCAGTGTCAAACGTACAGAAGATTGAGGAGAGAATACAGACTTCCCAAATCCCCGTCCCCCACACACAGCTGCCCATTTTTGACCCCTTGCACTGGGGTATGGGGCTTCCATTTTCATGGATGAGCCAATGATTAATTAATGCATTCTTATTTTTTTTAATTTTTTTAAATTTTTTTTAATGCATTCTTATTAACTAAAGGTCTTAGTTCACACTGGAGTTCGGTCTTGCCGTTGTGGACACGTGTATCATGCATTTGCGTTTGAACAAAGCAGAAGCTCATGTGGGGGAATCAGTCTGGAGCCTCTTCAGGTTGGCTCCTGTCACTTAGTGACGTGCACTTAGGTTTTCCTCCCTGGCTTTTCCCGTCTTGATGGCTCATTTCTCTTTAGCACCAAATAATACTCCATCATCTGGACGGGCCACAGTGTGTTTATCCACTCACGTAGCACGTGGCTAGCCTGCACGCACCTGGTATGTGGGATCACTCATCCCGGAAGCATCAGGAAACAATCCGACCTACAGATGCTCACCTCACAGGGGATGAGCCCCCAGGTGTCCGTCCAAACGTCCAGAGAGTGGGCTGTGGCCCCAGACGGGGGGTGGGGGTGGCGAGTGTGAGGTCTGTGGTCACCAGGTCCTCATTTTATATTTTACATCACACGTAGTCCCCCCCACTCAGACCTCAGAGCACGGTTTCACCCATTTTTAGACTTTGCTTAAGTGACGTCGGGCGGGACACAGCATTCGGCAGCGTGCCCTCCCTCCCGGTGCGGTGTCATCAAGGTCGTTTATATTCATGCACGACACCTGCCGATCCTCGAGCCATACGGGATCCTGCTCTGTGGCTGCGCCCAGCTGCCCACACGAGGAGAATGCTCAGAATTCTGGACTGTGGTGACCTCCGGGGAGGGGAGAAGGCGCTGGAGTAGCGAGAGGCTTAACCTATGTTATGTCTATAATGTTTCGTTTCTTTGAACAAAACAGCTTGAGGTCACTCGGGCAGAGCTGAGTTGCTGGATTTAGAGGTAGAGCCGTGGCCCAGGGGACTTGGCTCATCTCTGGGTGCACTGCCCGGATCCAGGGTATTGAGCAGGAGGGGTCAATTTATTGTTCAAAATGATTATTTAGAAGATCATTTAAAAAAAAATCCTTGATCTTATCCATTTATTTAAAAGACATTAGCTTTGGGACAGCCTGGGTGGCTCCATGGTGGAGCATCAGCCTTCAGCTCAGGGCGTGATCTCGGGGTCCCTGCAGGGAGCCTGCTTCTCCCTCTGCCTGTGTCTGTGCCTCTCATGAATAAATAAATGAAATCTTTAAAAAAATCACATTAGCTTTATCAAGGTATAATTCACATGCCATAAAATTCATCCTACAATTCAGTGGCTTTTCCGTATCCACAGAGAAGTGCATCCATCACCATTTCAATTTTAGAATACTTGCATCACCTGTTCAGGGAAGCCAGAGCGGGGATCCCCCCACTCCCCTGCCCCCCGGCTTGTCCCTCCTTCCGTCCCCACCCGGGGCCCTAAGCAGCCGCTAATCTACTCTCTGTCGCTATGGATTTCCTACTCCGGGCGGGTCACAGAGCCTGGGGCATAGGGTGTCTGGATGCTCCACGCAGCAGAGTGTCGTCATGGCTCCCACGGGTTGGAGCGTGGGCCGGGGCCTCGCTCCTTTCCCGGCTGATGATGCTCCTCGGTGTGGATGGACCACATTTTGTTCGTTCATCTGTTTGTGGCCGCTTAGGTTTTCCCACCTGGTGGCTGTTGTGAAAAACGCTGCTGCTGCACATCCGCGTGCAAGTCCTTGTCTGAACACCTGCTATCAGTCCTTTGGGGTGGAGAGCACTTTCGAGCCGGGAAGGGATAGACCGGGGACCCCCCTCGTGTGTGGTCAGCGCCCGGGGAGCAGGGGGCCTGAGGCCTGGCACCTCTGAACCTCTGTGTCCCGGGGGGGGGGTGCGGGAGGGCCCGGGTGGCGTTCGGACAACCTACAGAGACTCACAGACTGTCTCCCTTGGTGCAGTTCGCCTCTACGGACCGAACTTTATCCTCCAGGTGTACTCGTCCCAGAGGAAGTCCTGGCACCCCGTGTGTCAGGACAACTGGAGTGACAGCTACGGGAGGGCCGCGTGCCAGGACATGGGTTACCGGTGAGTTGTGGCCCCAGACGCAGAAACAGAGCAAAGAGTCTCTGAGCCCCTCCCCGGAGGTGCCACAGCACACACCCCAATGCTGGGGACAGCTGTCTCCTTCCCAGCGCTGGTCGGGGAAACCAGCAGGTGCCCACCCTCCTCTGCATCTAGAGGACCCGACTCACTGCACCCAGCCCCGCCGCCTCCCCACCGCCATCCGCTCCCAGATACCCGGGGGCGTCTAGTGCCACGGCCACCAAGGTCCACAGCGCTGGCCGAGGGCCGAGGGCTGGGTGACGCCTGGCTGGGGACAAGCAGGGGGCTCTGGGGGAGACGCAGGGGAACAGATCGTGCTCGATCTTCACGGCGGGCAGGCTTGGGGGATGGCCCTAGAGCTTTTGAACAAGAGAGCAGTGACATCACATTTACACAGAAGGGGATTCGGTCCTGCAGGGGGCCCCAGGGAGGGTGGGAGAGGCAGAGGGTCCCTCCCAGGGGTTCCCAGTCAGGGGCACGTGGCAGCCGTCTGGCCCCACGGGGAAGAAGTCTGTGTGGTTTCATCACCACGGCCTCTTCCTCGGGGTGTCCCTGTGTGGCTCCCCTGCAATACTAGGGGGATCTCCATATGCCATTTTTCAGAATTAATTACCACTTGATAAGAAACTTGGCATCTTAGCTAATGAAATATTTCAAAATGCCAATCCCCAAATCGCCAGGGAATGACACTGTGAAGCCCTCATCACCATTCAGGACCTGATGGGATCGTGTAGCTGGTGGTGTCTTAATACCTGCAAATTTTCTTAAGTTACACGTACTCATACATCCCTAACCCAAACCAGGGACACCTGGGTGGCTCAGGGGTTGAGCATCTGCCTTCAGCTCAGGGCGTGACCCTGGGGTCCTGGGATCGAGTCCCACGTTGGGCTCCCTGCAGGGAGCCTGCTGCTCCCTCTGCCTGTGTCTCTGCCTCTCTCTCTGGGTCTCTCATGAATAAATGCATAAAATCTTTTTAAAAAATTTTTAAAAACATCCCTAACCCAAACGAGATTAGAAAACAACCGGCAGAGAGAGCTTCTCCCCGACAGTTGCCGGTTACCGGGTGCAGAGGGGCTTCTCACACCCGAGGTGGCTTGATTAGACCTTGTGATCTTCGTCTTCCAAACGCTCAGCTGTTCCTCGTAGTCTGAGCACCGCCGGAGAGACGTGCGACGATAGGGCACCGGATTTGCAATGGCTTGTGACGAAGCCCTCGTTTCAATGAACATTTTCTGCCTCTTCTAGGAATAGTTTCTATTCGAGCCAAGGAATAGCAGATGACAGCGGGGCCACCAGCTTCATGAAGCTGAACATAAGCGCCGGCCATATGGATCTCTACAAGAAACTGTACCACAGGTAGGTGGCGATTTCGTGTTTCCTTTAGGAAAATTTGTCCCGAGAGCGAGTAGGAGACACCACGGAGAACCACGAGGTCCCGAGGCTGGTTGCTCTGCGCCGTAATTCCTTGCATTGCTGAGTTTCTCATGAGGAGTCTGGACTCCACGCGGGGCTGGTTGCTGTGGGTTCGTCCTTGGGAAGCAGCTGTGGGTTATTTGTCATTTTTTTAAAAGATTTTATTTATTCATGAGAGACACAGGCAGAGGGAGAAGCAGGCTCCCTGCGGGGAGCCCGAAGTGGGACTCGATCCCGGGTCTCCAGGATCACTCCCTGGGCCAAAGGCAGCGCTAAACCGCTGAGCCACCGGCTGCGCTTATTTGTCATTTGGTTTGTGCCCTTGCTGCCACTGGATAACATCATAAAATGGAGAGTCCTCCTTACTGCGTTTTTTTTTTTTTTAAGATTTTATTTATTTGAGAGCGAGCGAGCGTGGCGGGGGCAGGGGGGTGGAGGCACAGAGGGAGAGAGAGAGCAAAACAGGCGGCCCCGCTGAGCAGGGAGCCCGATGTGGGACTTGATCCCAGGACCCCGGGATCATGACCTGAGCCGAAGGCAGACGCTTCACCGACAGAGCCCCCCAGGCGCCCCCCTTTACTGCTATTCTTTACTCCCCAGACATTAGCGTGTCAGGGTGTATCTCCAGGAATCCCAGAGAAAGCCTCGGGGTCCCAACCGGGGCGACCAACTGAGCCTGCTTTGCCCTGGACTTTGCCAGTGTCAGCCCGGACGTCCTGCCGCTCAGGGACCCCTTCCATCCCAGGCGGCAGGGGCAGCTGGTCCCCTGGCCCTGGGCCACCTGCCAGAGGCCGCCTTGCCCGGGGGGGAGGGCAGCATTCCGGGGGCCTGGGCGGGGCAGGGAGCGATGTGTCTTGCACGTCGGAGCCAGCGTGTGGCCCTGGGCAGGTCACGGTGTGTCCAGCGGATGGAAAATCACCTGAGCAGCAGATCCCGTGACGGACGGCTTGACCGGTCAGCAGGGCCGAGGGAAGGAGCGGAAGCTCCGCGTGCTGTTTTGCGTATGTTCACCGGGTGTGCGGGCTTCCTAGGATCGTCGTTACTCCGTGGCTGTCCTTTAATGGCAAAGTCACACAGCGTCCTTTGTGCACGAGCCTTGGTCAGCTCCCAGGTCCCCATCAGTCACCCCCAGGTGGCTGGCCGGCCGCCTCCTCCCCACCGCCCAGGTGCCAGCGGCTGCATTTCGGGGCAGGCTGAGGTAGCCACGGCGCCCCTCCTTTCCTTCCAGGGGGAGCCTAGTGGCCGGTTTGCATTCCTGGCAGCTGCGTGGCTGGGGGGCTGGCTTCCGCCCGGCTGTCCCCAGGAATGTGACGGGTTGAGCCCGGGAGGAGGGCCGGCCTGGCCAGGTGCGCCCGCCTGCCCGCCCAGGAAGCCAAACGCAGCTGCCTGGGCTCTCCGTCAAGGCCAGGTATTCCCGTCCTTCCCCGTGACGCTCACGCGCGGAATCAGGGCTGAGCAGGGGGCCGCTGGCACCTCCCCGCAGGAGCCTCGGGGCCTCACAAGGTGGCAGCCGGGTTTGGGGGGAGGACGAGGTGCTCTTTGCCTGGCACGGGGCATCCCGGACATGGAGAAGGGGGCCAAGGCTCCTTTCTCTTGGCTTTGATACCCGAGCCGCAGGCTCCCGGCGGGGCTCACCTGCGTGACCGTGGGCGTGTCCACACGCTGGTGGCTGCAGGTGCACCTCCACACGGAGGACAATCAGCCTCATGACTCTTAGAAACCTGTTCTTTTATTTACTTTTGTAAAGATTTTATTTATTTATTCATGAGACACACAGGCAGAGGGAGAAGCAGGCTCCCTGTGGGGAACCCAATGCGGGACTCGATCCCGGGACCCGGGTCATGCCCTGAGCTGAAGGCAGACGCTCAACCACTGAGCCACCCAGGTGCCCCCAAAACATCTTCTTTTAATGAAAGCATGTGTTCTCTTGGCGTTGTTATGTCTTGCAACCGGAGACCACGGGGTGTCCTTGGAACCGTGGGGCCTCTTGGTGTGAGGGTGTCAGAGGTGACTTGATATATAGGACTCAGGCTGGTGTTGGGTCCTTTTGGGGAGGTTCGAGGAAGCAGGGGCTTTGCTCTGGATTGGATGCTGTTAGGAAGCGAGATGATTTTGTGATTGGTATTTTTTTTTTTTTTAAGATTTTATTTAGTTACTCATGAGAGACCCAGAGAGAGAGGCAGAGACCCAGGCAGAGGGAGAAGCAGGCTCCCTGCGGGGACCCCGATACAGGACTCGATCCTGGGACCCCGGGGTCATGCCCTGAGCCACCCAGGTGCCCCTTGTGATTGGCATCTTCATGCTTTTTCCTCTAGAAGGGGGCTGGCATGGAGCCAGGCTGCAGCAGGATTGGCCAACCGGTGCCGTCAGCGCCGCTGGCCGGCGGAGGAGGCTGTCGCTCACCGCGTGGCTTGGGCACGGCTCGGGCCTGGCCCCTGCGGGTCTGACCAGCTGCAAACGCCCACATGTTAGGGCTGCTTCTCCCCCTCGCGATGTATTAGGGGCAGCTCCCCCTGGGGCAGGACGCGCGGGTTGTACGTAGCCTCGAACACTCTCCTCCCAAACAAGTAACTGCCCTTCGGCTCTGAGCAAACGGTCGGTGGTTCTTGCTGCGTGTGCGGTGAGCGCACAGCAGTTGCAGGGGCCTGCATGTGCACGGGGGACTCCCGTGCAAGACCAGAGGCTGACTTTTAAGTTCTGGGAATAAAAACAGTAGCTCGTGTAACTGGGTGCTTCCCCTTACAACCAGTCCGACCTGCTACCCTCATTCTCCCACTTTACAGATGGGGGACACTGAGGCACAGGGAGATTAAGTAACCAGCCCGAGGTCACACAGCGGAGACTTGAAACCCCCCACTTGGATCCACTCCCCTTATTTGAGTCTTCAGTCGTGGGGAGGCGGGGGAGTGAGAACACGGGGAGAAAATGTTTCTCTCTAAGAGTCTTGAGAGTCGAGCATCCCCTGCTTATCACAGTGACCAGAACGTGCCCTGTTCTTTTGTAGTGACGTCTGTTCTTCAAAAACGGTGGTTTCTTTACGCTGTATAGGTAAGTGATGCTTGGTTACCCCTTTTTTTTTCTTTCCCTAAATAGGAACAGTCACTCTGTACCTTCAGAAATGCCTCCCCTGGGTCTGGGGAGGCGGGGTGATGGGCTGGGATGCGCCCAGAGGCCCTGTGCCCCATCTGCACCGCCCCCCCCAAGGGAACACCTGTCTTGTCCCGCGGTGTCCTGGAGACACCGTCAGCCTCCGTCAGCCTCCGGTCCAGGAGCACCGTCCCGTGAGGACGTCGAGCTCGGGAGATGGACGGGCCCTGGCAATTCCCGTCTCTGTGTCGGGATTATGTATGGCTCCCACACTTTTCCCAGGGTGGGTGCACCGTCCCTGGGCTCCCCTCTCTGGGATGGCCCCAGAGCTCAGCTTTTCAGGGTGAGCAGATGGAACTAGCAGCTGCTCTGGGTGGGCTGCGTGACCCCACGGTCCCAGCAGCCGCCTCCGGGCCGGGCGCGCAGCTCAAGCTGCTTTAGGCCGCAAGAGAGTGTGGCGCACAAGTGGCACCAGGCCAGGCATTGAGGGTCCCACACTCCCTCCCCCTCTTCTTCCTCCCTCTCCTTCCTCCTTCCCCTTCCTTCTTCCTTCCTATCCCTGTTCCTTTCTCCCATCTTCCCCCCTCCCCCTCCCTCCCTCTCCCTCCCTCCCCCTCCCTCCCTCTCCCTCCTCCCTCCCCATCCTTCTCCCTTCTCCCGCCTCCCTCCACCTCCTCCCTCTTCCTCCTCCTTACCCCTTCTTCCTCCCCCTACCCCCTCCTTCCCTGTACTTCCCCCTCCTTCCTCGCCCTCCCCTTTCTTCCCCATCCTTCTCCCTTCTCCCTCCCCCTCCTCCCTCCCCTTCCTCCTTCCCCCTCATTCTTCCTCCCTCCCCCTCCTTCCTCATCCTTCTCCCTCCTTCTTCCCCCTCCTCCCTCCCCTGCCTCCCTCCTCCTCCTTCCCTCCTCCTTCCCCCTCCATTCCTGTACTTCCCCCTCCTTCTTCTTCCTCTCCCTCCTCCCTCCTCCTCCTTCCCTATCCTTCTCCTGCCTCCCTCCTCCTCTCTCCCCCTCCTCCCTCCCCCTCCTCCCTCCTCCTTCCCCCTCCTTCCCTGTACTTCCCTCTCCTTCCTCTTCCTCCTCCTCCTCCCTCCCTCCTGCCCACCCTCCTGTGCTTTGTTCTGAGCATCGGGTCTCCCCATGACTCAAGCAGGTGCAGGCACTTTACTATCCAAGGCCCCTGGGCCGGGCCTGCCAGAGACACTGATGGGGTGAGTGCTGAACAGAAGGTGGCATCAAGTGCCCGCAGAAGCGGGACTGCCCCGGGGCCTGGGGGGCTGGAGGGCCATCCTCTCCTCCCCTCCACCAGAAAGAGATCGGGACACATTCTCTCAAATTCAGACCCCAGACCAGTGGGAATGAGAGGCAGCGAGAGCAGCCACCCGCTGGCTGGGCCCAGGCTGCGGGGTCCCGGGGCGGCCCTGCTGTGCTCACCGGCGGTGCTTGTGGCTTTCAGAGTGCGGGGTCTCTGCGAAGGTGACCCGTCAGAGCCGGATCGTGGGCGGGACCAGCGCCTCCCTGGGGGACTGGCCCTGGCAGGTCAGCCTGCACGTCCAGGGCACCCACGTCTGTGGAGGCTCTATTATCAGCCCCGAGTGGATCGTGACAGCCGCCCACTGTGTGGAGGAGTAAGTCCCTGACAGGGTCGGGCGGGGGGGGGGGGGGGGCGGCTCTCAGGGCCGTGAGGTCGTGGGTTTGGAGTTGGCTCTGGGGCCATGTGACCCGGAGGGAAGTCTCTGACCTCTTCAAGCTCCGGTTTCTTTGCCTGGACGTGGGCACGGCACCCGCTGCGGAGGCCTTGCCGGAGGGTCGGGTGAGCTCGTGCGTGGGGAGCGGACGCCAAGCCCGTCCCTTCAGCAGGTGCGCTCCGGGCGGGCTCCGTGTGCGACAGGTGCTGCTGTGAGCCGGGCCCCTTCCAGCCCGCACCCTCCCTGGGTTCTCAGCACCCCTGGCCCCGTGGGAGGCCTGGTCTCCCCTGGATGCCCGTCTTCAGGAGGACACCAGGGGACCTCCCTTCGCTCTGCCCCAAAGTTCCGTCAGATGCCGGCCACACAGATGGGCAGGAAGCGGGGAGGTGGCCATAACGTATAGCGCTAGCTTTTGTGGAAGGACTCGTCCTCCTCCTTGTTCCTTAAACATAGAGATTTTTGGTCACGTGCCCGTTCTGGAGGAAACTTGGCGCAGCAGAGCTGCCTTTCTGATTTGGAATGAGCTCGAGCCTGGCTGGGGTCCGGTCTCTGCCATTCCCCAGCCGCGTGGCCGCGGGCCGCTCACTCAAGGTGGCCGGCCACAGCGTCACCTCTGCACACCTGCCGGACAGGCGAGCCGGCTCCTCCCGAGGGCTGTTGGGAGGGTGGACGGACCCACGTTCATTACCCAGTGGTGTTCCCTCTCTGACCTCCTTCCCCCTCCCCGGGACTGGGATTCTCTCCAAAGGGAAGCACCTAGATAAAGCTAATGCCCTGATGGCTGTTAGGCCTGGAGCCCAGGCATCCGTGCACATTTATTATTAAGCACCCACTGTGTGCGAGAAGATGCCCCATAGGTAAGACCCAGTCCTGCCAGAAATGAGGTTTGAAACCTCAAGGAGGCATCAGGCCCAAGTGAAAGTGTCCTCAGAACCCGGAGGGTTTGCAGGCCGGGGCAGGAGCACAGGAGGGACGGGCCTCACGGCGGGGGGGGGGGGGGGGGGGTTTGTGGAGCCGAGGGAGGAGCCTGAGACCTCCTCCCCAGCCCTGCCCTGTGGAGGAGCCTCCACAGACATGGGTGCCCTGGATGTGCAGGCTGACCTGCTCCTAGCAGGTCGTGTCACCTACTGGACACTTGGCTCCTGCTTTTGAATGTCACCAAGTGAGTGACGTTCGCGCGTCTGAGATGCTAAGTGGTGTCCGGCTCTGCCTTCCAGACCTCTAAACAACGCGCGGTACTGGACGGCCTTCGCGGGAATTTTGAGACAATCCTTCATGTTCTATGGACACGGACACCGAGTGGGAAAAGTGATTTCCCATCCAAATTATGATTCCAAGACCAAGAACAACGACATTGCCCTCATGAAGTTGCAGACGCCTCTGACTTTTAACGGTACGGACCTGTGTCCCTGGGGCTCAGGGTGCGCGGAGAGCTTTGGCCACATCTTGAGGACAGAGGTCGATCTCACCGGGCGGAGGGGTTTGCGTTGAGCGATGATTTCATCAACACAGGCAAGCCCAGAAGGGGTTTCCAGCCACAGCGCTGTTGACACTTGGGGTCGGATGCCTCTTGGCCGTGGGGCCCTCCTGCACATAGTAGGACATATAGCGGGATCCCAGGTATCCACCCGCTCAGTGCCCTTTAGTTGTGACAAAAAGAGTGTCCCATCGCTGTGAAACATCCCCCGGGGGCCAAGTCACCTCCGGTTGAGAACTGTCTAAAATTCATCACTACTTTACTTTCTTTACATAAATCCCGAAAACCAGATACTTCACAGTTTACAACAATAAAAAAACACCAATTTCCTTCAGCTTCTCATTCGGCCCCCGTTCTAGTCCATCCAAGGGCCCCGCTGGAATGTTCCGGCCCACGTGGGCACAGACGAAGCCCAGCCTCGTCCCTCCCTTGTAGGGGTTTGGATTCAAGCCGGGATACAGTGTAGACCCAGAAGGAATCGGTCCAGGGGGCATCGGAGGTGCGGGCTGGGAGTGCCCGTCAGCTTCTCGGCCGCTGCCGCCCGTGTGTCCTTCTTGCCACCGATCACCTGGAGACACTGTGTATTTTGAAGGGTGTGCTCCTTGAGGATTTAAGCTTTGAAAAAAGGTTTCATTGTTTGAAACCTATTTGCTCTTTTTCTCGAAGGTTTAAGTCTGGAAAAAAAAAAAAACCCGTTAGTTGTGAGTTTTTAGAAGCAGAACTTGCAAAGAATCCCATTGCCAAGGAGAAGGGAGCACCTTGCTCCTGGGAAGGAGGGGCCCGGCAGGGACAGGAGGCAGGATTTGTCCCTGAGCGACGGAGGCTGGTACCAGGCCCCCGGTCCCACCGGGCCGAGCTCACCGCACTTCTCTCCCGGGAACAGACAGAGTGAAGCCAGTGTGCCTGCCTAACCCGGGCATGATGCTAGAGCCGGAGCAGTCCTGCTGGATTTCCGGGTGGGGGGCCACCCAGGAGAAAGGTGAGGCTCCCCGGGGTCCCCGCGGGGACACAGCACCGGGTCTGGAAGTGGGAGGTCCGGGGTTTAATCCTCCTGACCCCATGATTAGAGGACTTCGGGCTCCAGGCTCAAGAGAGGAATCTGCTTGAGGATTTTCCCTCTCTCTCTGCCTCTCCTCCTGCTCGGGAATCAGTAAATCTTATTAAGAAAAGAGGAAGGAGGGGACAGGGACACCTGGGTGACTCAGCAGTTGAGCATCTGCCTTTGGCTCAGGGCGTGACCCCCGGGTCCCGGGATCGAGTCCCGCATCGGGCTCCCCGCAGGGAGCCTGCTTCTCCCTCTGCCTGGGTCTCTGCCTCTCTCATGAATAAATGAATAAAATGTTTAAAAATAAAAGAAAAAGAAAGTCCGCGTCGGGAGCATGAGGGGCCCGGGGAGGGCAGCTGCTTGCTTCGTGCTCTGAGCCCCAGGGTGGGCCATGGTGCTGCTTCCCTAGCCGGGGAGTCCGGGGCGCTCGGTGAGGATTTGGGGCGGAGGAGGGCAGGGAGGGGCCCCATGTTGGCACGTGAAGCCCGCGGTGCCCGGAGGACACCCGCGTGGAGACGGCCAGGTGGGAGCCAGGGGGCAGCGGTGACAAGAGCCCACGCTGGCTTAGAGACGTCTTGACGTGCAGGGGAGCAGAGAAGTGGGGCCGTGGGGTTGTTGAGGGTGGGAACACAGGAGCGGGGTGGTGAGGGACGGAGCCTCAGGGCCCAGTGGCTGGGGGCGGGGGGGGGGAGGTTCTAGAACACAGAGGAGGCCCTCCCGGGACAGGAAGGGTCTGGATGACCCAGCTTCCCCGGGGTGGGGGGCAGGGGGACGGGACATGCCCAGGGCGCTGCTGTCGCCGCGGTGTGTCCCGGGAGGGAGTGCACTGTCCCCTGCGGGCCGCTGGCCACGTGGCAGCTGGGCGTCGTCCTCTGTCCCAGGGAAGACCTCGGACGAGCTGAACGCGGTCATGGTGCCCCTCATCGAGCCCTGGCGCTGCAACAGCAAGTACGTCTACAACAACCTGGTCACTCCGGCCATGATCTGCGCGGGCTTCCTGCGGGGAGGCGTCGACTCCTGCCAGGTGAGTGCCCGCCGTCACCTGTCACCTGCGCTGCCGCCCACCTGGCGCCGCTGCGTGCCCCCCGCCCCCCCCCCCCCGGGGGTTTTCATTTTGTCAGCTTGTCGGTGGGACAGAAAGAAGCTTCTGGACTATTTTAAACTACGGTCGACAATTTAGCTAGCAGCTCCTACCTGGTACACGCTAGTCTCGAGGTTATATGTCACTGTCCCTCTACTTGGGGGGGGGACACGAAAGCCGCACACCCACTCGTAACTCCCATGGGGACCCCGACCCCCACCCTCTGTGCATGGCCGGCTGCGTGCACGGGTTGCGGCTTGAACCCCTGCTCTTGCTGTGTCCCCCAGGGTGACAGCGGAGGTCCCCTGGTCACTCTGAAGAGCCGCGTCTGGTGGTTGATCGGCGACACGAGCTGGGGATCCGGCTGTGCCAAGGCTAACAGGCCGGGAGTGTACGGAAACATGACCGTTTTCACCGACTGGATTTATCGGCAAATGAGGGTAACTTTCCCGTGCTCCCAGGCTGCTGTCGAAGCCCAGAAGTCTGTGGGGTGTGGGTTCCCGGCGGGAGGCTGACGGGGGGAGGGGGGCACCCAGACTCCACCTCCCAGGCTCTGGTTTGCAGTGAGCACCGCCCTCCGTCCCTCTACTGCGCACCCTCGTCCCTCTACTGTGCACCCTCGCTGCTGCGTGCGGCCCAGGGCTCACTCGGGTGGAAAAACTCCAGGGAAGAGCTTTTCAGAGTCCAGAGCCAGCTCTAGATGGGCTTCCCCGTGCTCTGCTGGCCCTGTTAACCCACCCAGACCTCACGGGATCACCTTCTGGGGATGGGCGGAGAGCAGAGCAAGGCCAACCAGCCACAGGGGGTTGTGGCCGTGCCCGGTCCCGTGGGCCCCGGGCTGGAGCTCTCTGGCACGAGGAGAGGAGGTAAAGACAGGGAAGGGTCCGGGGGGTTCCCTGCAATCCTTCCCACCTGCCTCTCACCACTTCGCAGAGTCCTTTTCTCAGGCTCCGCCCAGATCTTGGGCTAGAAACGGATCTCACCCCCTACCCCCACCCCGAGGACTCCCCGTGGGCGCTTTGCCCCGATTTCACCCCTTCCAGGGCCGGGGCTTATTGGTTAAAGGGAAGCTTCTGTTGTCTCCTCTCTGCTTCCCAAGGGGCCCACGCAGTCGAGGGAGGGGCACATCCTGTCCACGCAAGATGAACAAAACTTTTAGAATTCCTTAAAAAAAAAAAAAAAGAGTTTTATTCGAGCCCAAGTAGTGAGGATGGCTGCCTGGGGTGGTTCAGAGTGACTGCTCCGGGTTAGGGACATAGACTAAGGGGTTGTACGTGGCCTCAAGAGGGACACGTCGTCATGACGAAGAACATCCCGTAAATTTGCAAACTGTATCCTATGTTTTCAGTGTGTGCGAGGCTGCAGGCCTCAGAGGAGTGGGATGGAATTAATGGACATTCTTACTCTTACTCTTATTTTTATTTTTTATTATTATTTTTTAAGTATGATTTTTATTCTTTTTTTTTTTAAGATTTTATTTATTTATTCATGAGAGACACAGAGTGAGAGAGAGAGAGGCAGAGACACAGGCAGAGGGAGAAGCAGGCTCCATGCGGGGAGCCTGATGTGGGACTCGATCCCGGGTCTCCAGGATCACGCCCTGGTCTGAAGGCGGCGCTAAATCGCTGAGCCACCCGGGCTGCCCACGTTATTACTCTTGTTTTTAGTTTGAACCGTGTCTGTGAGGTTAGTCGCTAACAAAACGGACGTACAGTGCATGCTCAGGGCAGTAATAGAGCCCAGGCTTCGAAGTCTGGTTAAATCATTCTGACCGGGGTGAAAATTAGGGTGTAGCTTCCCTGGGAGCCCAGGAGCAGGGCTCACAAACACAGAAAGGTGCAAACTTCCTTTATCAAACCAGAGGGGTGGCCTGATGGCGGCGCGGCCTGCATGTCCCGCAGATCACACCGTGGGACCTGATACCTTCACGTGACCCCGGGGCGGAGGGGGCGGGGGCCAGGCTGTGGCTGGTAAAGGGCCGAGCGCTGGAAACAGGCCACCACCTCTGTCCTGCTGGGGGGCTGCGGGCTGGAGGGGGAGCTGGCTGGGCCAGTCCAAGGGGCCGACTGTCCAGCGCATGGAGTGACAGGCCCGAGTGGCACTAATTAAGCACTTGGGCTGCAAGGACTCGGGTCACGTTTGAGGTCCCCGGAGGAGGCCCACGTGCTGGCTGTGCTAGCCACACGCGTGCACACGCCACGTCCTCGCACCTGCCCTGTCCACCTCCTCCAGCCCGACGCTTTGACCTCCGTGCTGTAGGAAAGATACCTCATGGCCCCTCTTAGCTCGCTCATTAGGTTCTAAGTCAATCTAGGGAGAAGAAAAACCATTGGCTACCCTTTTATGTCTGAAGAAAATAACGTTATTTCTTTTTTTCCCGCCAAACAGGCAAACAGCTGATCCCCGTGGCCTTTGTCCTTGTTCCTCGAGGAGATGAAGGGGCTGATTCTCCATTCCTCGCGCACGATGTATTTTTAGAGAAGCTTCGAAGGTCCTTTCATGGTTATTAAATAGTGAATTTGTCTGTCTTTGGCACTCTCCACGGTTCTGCGGAACTTGCTCCCTGACCCCTCATCCAAAAAGGGTGGCCAGGCCCAGCTGGGTGCGGGCACCCAGCACCAACGCGGAGCAATGGGGTGGGGGCTCCCCCGTTGGGATCTTCCTTCCGAGCCCTCTCCGGGGTCCACCTTCGGATGCACATGGGGTCAGTGACTTCTCAGCTGCTGGATGACTTGAGATGGAAAGGGAGAAAGCCAGGTGGGACCGTCAGGGGCAGGCTCTGAGGCCACTGCTCTGGAGGGCGACCCCAGGGCCAGTCTCCCCACAGGGGTCTTCGTTGATCATTTTTTAGTGCCTTTTCAGTAACCTCGGATGGTGGCTGGAAATAAAGGGACCAGCCCTTCATGGCTGAGGACGTGAGGGCGAGGGTGCAGACAGAGCCCTCCGAACAAGGAAAGCCATTGCAGACACGTCCCGCATGCGCACTGCTGGGTGGTTGGCCTCCGCGTGTTGGGCGGGGGCGCCCCCAAGGGAGACCCAGCCTCACTCCCCATCCTCGTCCTTGGGGGTGCCGTGCTTGACCCTCTTGGGGCCTGCCAATCACATGGAAATTGAGGCCACCCCCGGGGGAAATCAGGGATGTGTGATTCAAGAGACACTGTTTCGGTGTGAAGCTTCTACACCTTACTTACCTACCTCAGTGCTCACCGAGTCTTGATGCCTCCGCATAGTCGCTAACTTTGGCTCTTTGAGACTATGGTCCCGGCCAAGTGCCAACGGTGGCGGGCTAGAACGGGCTTTGCAAAGGGTTCTGCACACAGGTGTTGCTGAGGAGCAGCACCTGGGCTTGCAACAGAGCAGAGGAGGGGGGTGGGGACGCCCTGAGGCCCCTTCCTGCCCTGCGGCCTTTCCCTGGAGGGAAGGGCCAGGCCTGAATGCCGGGCGGGAGCAGAAGCGCTCTTGCCCCGTGCGTACTGCTTTCCCCAGGCTCTGCCTCTGCTCACGCACGATTCTGCTGCTGGGGCTTAACCCCGAAAGGGGAAGGTCGTGGGGTCCCATCCCCAGGCGGGGGTGCGGGATGCTTCAGATCCGTGTGCCTCCTTGGCCGCAGCATCCCTGGGGGCCTTCCCAACCCTCGGCACCGCCGGGTCCCAGCTCTCCAAGCCAGATTTTGAAAAGCATCGTCGGGGTGAGAACGTGTTCCTTCCTTAGCTTCTGTGTATGTGACCACTGTTTGTCTTCTTTGGTTTGTATCTTTTTTTAAAACTGTAAAATTGAATTGTGAGCATTGTACAAATAAATTATACTTTTTTTTTTCCAAATGTTTATTGAGTCTTTGGAGATCTGCATGGGGAGCCGACCAGGTCTGCACCTCCTTGTCGGGCAAGGATGCTGAGTAGCTGCTGCCCGTGGAGGCAGGGGCAGGGCAGTGGGGGGCTGGTCTGAGGACCGAGAGGCGCGGGGTCAGGCCTGGCCGGTCAGAAGTGACCCGCAGCATCTCCTGCATGGGCATCCCCCGTGGCTCCCGCTTCCCCTAGACTCAGACCCTGAGACCCAACTCCCTTCCAGACCTCTCTGCCCATTACCCCACACATCATCCCCAGGCCCAGCCTGCTAAAAAATGCATTCAGCATCTTGTCCCCTAAAGCTGTCCCCCAAAGCCCCTCTTGGTTCTTGGTGACAGCACCGCCTCCTCAGCTGGTCCCGTGGAGTCGGGACCGTGAGCAGGAGAGAAAGACTGGATGAGGTTTTCATCTGCCCGAGAACAGAAATCCATTTGGAGCCTTCATTCCACAAACCCTGTGGGCCCTACATGCATGACAGGTGATCGTCTTCATTATACCAAGATGGGTTAAAATTACGGAAAAAAAAACTGTATTTAAAAAAAAAAGATAAAACACATTTTTGTTAGGCCATGCCCTGAAATACAGTCGAGTCTGATGGTAATTATGTCCCACAAAACCGTCAGGAACGCTGAATTAGTGAATAGTGAATCATCGCTTCTAGGGGACACGCAGAGACAGGTCGGGGGCCTTCACAGCCGACAACCTTTTCAGTTACTTTTTTTCATGCTGGAGCCGCCTTGCGAGTGGTTTTACTTGTGCGTGATGCTGACTCGACTTAGAGGATCTCGCCGGAATGCTGAAACTAGGGAGATCCTGACAGTTTTGCGTTAAAACCTTTATCAACGATGTAAGTTCATTGACTTAATATAAACAAACCCCAAATACTAATGAAAGTGAAGACACGCGTGTTGATAGAAAGGGAGTAATGTGTGCTGGTCCTCATGTTGCCTCTTGCAGCTGGCTCAGCGGGTGGGTTCCCAGCATGGAAACCTGCGCTCCCCTCGGTTTGCCTCCGGTTGAGTTGTCCATGCGGGACAGTCCTGCCTCGAACCCAGGTTCCAGGCCTGTTCTCAGCTCTCTCTCTCTCTCTGTCCTTCTAGGGCTTACCTGATTCCGCTCTGATTTCATGGCCGCTTCCTGTTCCAACCAAGGCCTCACCCCGAGCCTGGCTTTGTAAGGAGCCCACGCACCCCGTGGGTGGGGTCAAACCCCAGGCCCCAGCCTTTCACTGCATTGCACTCAGGGAAGGTGATGTATGATGCAACACACGTCAGACCTTCTTCTCCTGGTAAACCCAGTGTTTTGAGAAAAAGTGACATTTAAAAATTCACTAATGGGGGCACCTGGGTGGCTCAGCCGCTGAGCATCTGCCCTCAGCTCAGGTTGTGATCCCAGGGTCCTGGGATCAAGTCCTGCATCGGGCTCCCTGCTCAGTGGGACGTCTGCTTCTCCCTCTCGCACTGCCCTTCCCCATGCGTGTGCTCTATCTCTCAAATGAGTAAATTAAAAAAAAAAAAAATTTTGCTTACGTCCCAGCTGCCTCATTTTTAACGAACCCATCCCACAAAAGGTGTTTTCTAGAAGCTCGCTGTGACTACAGAGACTGAGCTCATAAGCAACCCAGAGCCCACGGAACCACTTCGATCTTTCTTCCCGGGGAAGAAAAGAATAGGTCTGACCAAGGGAACACCAAGGGCGGTGTGCCTTTCGCTGCCTTCACCGTTACCTGGTGGAGGACTTGCCGCCTGGGTTCCTTTCCTTTGAAATGAAAACTGACATTTGAGGAACTTTTCTGGCTGGCCGGTTGCATTTACTTTCCCTCGAGAGCGACAGTAATCAAAGCGGGTGCTCTGAAGCTCCTCGGGAGATAGTCACGAATCCAGAAAGTCCTCTGAACAAATGCCCAGGGTGTCCCACGCCCCGTCCCCTCTCCCAGCATTTATTAAGCACCTACAGCATGTCAGACCCTCTGTTCTGGAAAACCAAGGCTTTCTATTTTCATCAGTTAAATTCTATCTGGCCCGTTTCCTGGTCTGCTCCGAACTCAGCGCCATCCTGTGGGGTCAACGGAGCCCCAGACTTACCTGAAGAGAGGGTTCAGGAGTGGGCATCTTGGATATTCTACTAGATTCTGGACAGATAGATGGACTTTCCTTCTAGAGGAAGGGGCAGCAGCAACTGGAGATGCAGGTTCTGATCCTAGCAGTGTCGTGTCCCTCAACGGCCAGGGGGTGGCTAGGGACAGCGGATGGGAGAACCGGAGGACATGTCAACCCCTCGTCTGAGCCCGGCTGCTGTCTGAGCAAAGAAGTCACCCCAAGTGGACTCCAGAGCTGTCTCTCCCTGAGTCTGAACACACAGGAGAAAGGACAGTATGCTTCCCTGGGGCAGGCCTGGGGGACCCGTAGACACCTGCTGTTTGGGATCAAAATGAAAGCGATTGCTGGGACGCCTGGGGGGCTCGGTGGTTGAGCGTCTGCCTTCAGCTCAGGGCGTGATCCCAGGATCCAGGATCGAGTCCCGCATCGGGCTCCCCGCAGGGAGCCTGCTTCTCCCTCTGCCTGTGTCTCTGCCTCTCTCTGTGTGTCTCTCATGAATAAATAAAGAAAATCTTTAAAAATTGCATAAAACGAAAGCAATTGCAAGCACCTCGTGAGTCTGCAGCAGGCATGTTCCCTGGGAAGTTCCATCCTCGGGAGCACACACGCTCAGCTTCCTTCGTCCACCTTCTCTTTCAAGCTCCAGCAACATCGGAAGCCCAGCAAAGAAGACCCCCGGACGACTCTGACATCCCCGGCTGCTCTGGTCCCAGCAGAACCCTCCTGGGGCGGGGGAGGGATGCCTGGTGCTGGAGATGTCACCCAGCCCAGCCCCGTCCCCCACACCCCTCCCAGAAGCGGGCCCGCATCCCTGTGCTAACAGGAGGGACCCGGGCCTCACATGCTGTAGGAGGGCCTGCTCCTCCCCGACTCTTGCAGAAGTCTGTGCAATAATGTTTCCTTTCAGCAGGAAGGAAACCTGCCCCTGCCCCTCAGTGGTTGTGAGTCAACCCTCAGGTGTGTCATTGGCGTGAGGTGCGGACTGGAACCTGTGGAATGCCCATCAGCTCTCCCGGCATCTTCCCTTGTCAGCAAATTCTCAGATTGCGCCAAAGCACTGGGGGTCGTTAGCATCCCGCGTGTCAGAAGGGACCTGGGGGATGGGGCTGGCTGCGGAGGGGACAGAATCACTAGTCTGCTTCCCCCAACAAGCGGTTGGCTGGCTCAGCCTGAAGCCCCCGTTGCCTGGAAACGCACAGCTCCTGGGAAGCTTCTCCCTTTCCAGACACCTGGCAGACGGTGCTCCCACCGCCCACACTGTGCAGACAGAAATGTGTCTCCCCAGAGAGCACCCGCTCCCAGCCCTCCCTCAGGGGGCTCTCCCGTGGGCTCGGACAATTTGACCCCCTCTAGGGACATGGAGGCAGATCCCTTTGCGCCCTGCATGGCCACAGCCCGCTGTTGGGGTTCCCACGCCTAAGCCGCCCACAGCGGGGTGTCTGCACGTGTCCCCAGCCCTGGCCAGACCAAGGAGGGCAGTCGGGACTCTGCAGGGCTCCCCCAGGGCAATTCAAGGTCAATACCCCGCCTTGTCCACCTCCCGGACCCCCCGCCACAGCCAGAGCATCTGCCTGCAAAACCCCGCCGGGCGCCCCCCTTAACGGGCTTGTGTGCTTTTTGTCTGTTTGTGAAATAATCATCGCATCGAGTCTGGTTCATTAGCATCCACCACCTCACAATTCTCACAATTCTTCTTGTGATAAGAACTTTGAAGAACTACACTCTTAGCGACTTGTAAATGCGCAATACAGTATTGTCAGCTTATGTGTCTTCGAACTGGAAGCCTGGGCCTTCGACCCCCTTCACCCACATTTCTTGTTTCATTTATATTCCATTTCTTTAGCTCGAGTCCTTGGCTCCCTCTGGCCTCATTCTTTGCTCGGCTCCTGCACTCTCCCTGGCCGGGCCACGGAGGCCAGCGCCCCATCATTTACTCCACTGGGGTCCCACTTGCTGTCATGTTCAGGCTTCTCCACCTCCCACCCGAACATAAGGCATCAGAGCAATGTCTGGTATAAACAAGTTTATTACAAATCAGTGAAATACAGCTTCTAAGAGCACCCACACGTGGCACTAATGCTCCCAAAACAGGTGCATGAAAGAAGTTGCACAAAAGCAGGAACTAATCCTTCTACAAAGCTTTGCATGCACTGGTCCCCTGGTGGAAGATGGAGAGGGTTCAAGGGGAACAACCCCGAGGGCAGAAAATCATTTCTCCTAACCAGGAGGGCGGCGGCGTCCACCCCCAATCTGAATCTCCTTCTTCTTCTTCTTTTTCTTTTTTTTTTCTCTTTTTTTTTCTTCTTCTTTTTTTTTTTTCTTTTTCTTTTTTAAGATTTTTTTCGTTTATTTATTCATGAGAGACACAGAGAGAGAGGCAGGGACACTGGCAGAGAGAGAAGCAGGCTCCATGCAGGGAGCCCGACATGGGACTGGATCCGTAAGTCTAGCTCTTAATCATGACCTGCGTCTTCTTAGGAAGTCCTTGCCCACTCAGGGACAAGCATGGGTGGTGACCGGGAAGACTGGCTACTAACTCCTCGAGTATCTGCGATGTGGGTTTGGGGAGAGAGGGCGGGTGCTGCTCCCTGCAGACGTGCCCTGGAGATGCAGGCGGGACAGGGAGCCGGCCTTAACCAGGGAATTTGGCTAAGCGACGTCGAGCCTGGGCCAGCCGCGCCAGCCGCTCCTTCAGGAACTTCCTCTTGTCGCTGGTGTCACTGCGCTCCTTCAGGAGCCAGCTGTAGGTGTCCTTGTCCTGGAGCAGCTGCAGCATGCCGTTCTGCAGCTTCTGGCCGTACACTTGCAGGATGAAGTACTGGATGATCAAGGGGATGTGGCTGGAGATGCGGTTGGTGGCCTCCTGCCAGGGAAG